AATTCATTAATCTTCCCTTAAAAAAATGTTTGTGCCTTACAACAGGTTTTGGTCTTTGGTTTATTCTATAATACTGGACTTATTTTTCTACGTAAGTTTAAACTTTGAGAATGTGTAAACAAGAGAGACAAATGTGAAAATGTCCATGCCTATCTGAGAAAAGTGTATAAATTGTGTAGTCAGGATTTTTTTCAGCTTTAAAACATTTATAATAATTGTAAAATATAAAGCTGACTACTTTGCAGATTTTGCTTTGTGCTGGTTATTATTAGAAAGTAAATTCCACAATGAACATGAGTACACTGTACCAGCAATACACATTCAAAAAAGATTTTTACTGCTTGTTTAAAATACTTATTTAAAATCAGCTGAAACACAATTCCTGAGAGGTTTTTTTTTTTTTTTGACAACTTAATTGTTTTATGATCAATCGACTTTAGTTTTTAAAAACAATTGATGTAATCGATTTGTGCCAGGATAACAAAGGAATTGTGTGTATTTATATTACATAAGTGAGTTTTTGTTTTGTAGTTCAAGTTTTTTACTGTTTTCCTTTCAATATATAACAGGATATAACAAAAACACATTACATGTATATACAGTTGAAGTCAGAATTATTAGTCCCCCTCTGAGTTATTATTATCATTTTAATTATTTCCCAAATGGTGTTTAACAGTGCAAGGAAATTTTTACAGTATGTCTGATATTTTTTTTTCCTCTGGAAAAAAAGTCTTATTTTACGTATTTCGGCTATAATAATGGGAGGGGGGCGGGGGGATTGGTAATAATTCTGATTTCAACTGTATATGTGGGCCTTTTACACATGAAACAAAAATATAAGAATAAACATAAATAAAAAGAAAAAAAATTATAATGATCCAAAGAGAGAAGTTGAATACATCCAGAACTCTTCTCATGCTTGGATCTGTATAGATGTCCCTGCTTTATACAAGCAATATTTTTATATGTTGATAATAAATATTGCAACAACAGATCCATAAAACTGAATGTGGCTTAACTGTTTCAGAAACTTTTGTTAATTATTAATTACATATTTAATTAATAAAAAAATAACGTAAAAGAAGTTTGAGTTTGTTCTTAGGAGAATAATCAAATATTAATTAATTAAACACAAACATTATATCTTGATATAGCTATGCAAGTCATCTAGTTAAAATCCCTGTATTTTTTGTTCATAAAATGCAGAAAGACAAATCGAACAAGTCACATTTTAAGTAAAAATAGACATTTTTCCCCTATTTATTTCTTTAATACCATACTAGTGGTTGTTGATTGGGGTCTTTTACATTTTTAACATGCAAATTTACAATTAGTAGCTCACTCTTTAAATTGAAGATTGATTTGTTTTAAGTTGACAAAGTATAATGCCTTCAAAATAATAAGCACAATAAATACTTAAATCTCATCATATTCCGCAATAAGGTTTCCTTTGTTAACAGTGGTTTGATAACTAATCGTATTAATTACCAATGGTAAAAATGAACATATGAGCATTTATATTAACTAACATTAACAAAAAAAGAGTGCTGAAAATGACATGGTTTCAGGATAGTGATTAACAAATGTTAACAGAGCTTTTACCCCGAATCACTCCATAACACAAACTCTGAAGACGTTCTGTCAAGCTAAAATAAATCACCTGCGTTTGGTCTAGAAGATGTGCTGTGATTGTTTGCAGTAACGACAGCAATTTAACATGACTGTGCGCTGACTGAACATCGCTTGTCTAAAGATGCTGGGAAATCCTGATCCTGCCTGGATCTGTCAGCAGGATTACGTTCAACTGATCCGCCATGTCCGACATATGACAGAACTTTAGTCTAAGCTGTCTTAGTCTGATTCCCTCCAGCACGAGAGACGTGAGTCTGCCTCTTAACCAACTGAATGCACACTTGACTTTTAAAGGTAGACTTGTCATTTAGTTTCCCCTTATGGTGCTTTACTTCATAATAGTTTAATTTATTCTTTTCTTTTTTTTCTGCAGTTATCATGAATGGCCTATTACAAAGTGCAAACCTAACTCCTACTTTCTACATTTTTAGAGATGCACTCGGAAATTAAGAATAAGGTATAGGCATGTCTTTCCCTCCCTACATCTGTGTGTTACCAAATTACTTTTAAGGCAAGTGACAATGGTGGACATCTTTGAAATGTCTCTCTGGCATGCATGTCCAGTTCCTATGTCTATCAATGGGGAAACAACAAATTCTCTAAAACTGTTGCCAAGCTTATGGTTTAATTTAATAATTGGAATCAACAATAAAACTGACAACAATTGTCTCCTAAATTTTGCTTCTAAACATACAAAAAAAACAAATTCAGGCTGTGCAAGCTAATGTCTACTTAAAGTGATCAACACCATGATCCACAACACCAACCTCCTTTATAGCAAAGTCCCTTTAAGGCAAGTAATTTCACTCGGCAGCCATTTTTGAAACGCCTCTCAAGCGGTATGCTCGGGCATTCTGTTTGAATAGGAAAACATCAAACTCTCCAAAATTACTTGCCAAGCTTATGATTACATTTCATATTACAAATAACCAATTTAATTAAACAAAAACTGTCTCTTGTATCATTTCTAAATGTTTGCATCACACAAAATCAGCAAAAAACTCACGTTTGGTCCGAGCCCCTCCCTCTGAGAATTGTCATTCTATAGCAATCACTGATTAGCTCCTATACTAGAAGGCAGGCTTTATTTGCCATATAGCGACCACTGATTGGCTCCTGTACTAAAAGGTGGGGCTTCATTCGCCATATTGACAGTTACACTTTTTCCCATTCAGTAAGATGCGAGTGACAAGTCTTGTGAATTCTATAGTCTTTGTTTATAGTAACTTCTGGAGGACGTGATCAGATGTCATCTCAATCAAACTATATAACTACTGCAAGAATCAATAACTTGTGTTACACAATATCGAAGCAGTGGCGCAGTAGGTAGTGCTGTCGCCTCACAGCAAGAAGGTCGCTTGTTCGAACCTCGGCTCTATTGCCCTTTCTGTGTGGAGTTTGCATGTTCTCCCTACATTCGTGTGGGTTTCCTCCGGGTGCTCCGGTTTACCCCACAGTCCGAAGACATGCGGTACAGGTGAATTGGGTAGGCTAAATTGTCCATAGGGTATGAGTGTGTGTGTATGTGTGTGTGTGTGGATGTTTCCCAGAGTTGGCTTGCGGGTGGAAGGCCATCCACTGCGTAAAAAACGTGCTGGATAAGTTGGCGGTTCATTCCGTTGTGGCGACCCCGGATTAATAAAAGGACTAAGCCGACTAGAAAATGAATGAATGACACAATATCATCCTCTGAATAATGCTGTGTCCGACTGTGCTGGTCTACTGAAAAAAAAATTAAAATTTTCATTTTCATGACAGTGACCTCTTGTTTACAATTTTATGCATGCAAAAGTCATGTGATTTGCTTTTTAATGGAAATAATGTAGTCAGATGGGAAAGACTCAACTAATTTGTGTTCATTTCATACAAATTGCAAAACCAGAAAATATTTGTTATCAAATGTAGTTGCAATTAAAAGAAGAGATTCCAAGCCTCAAGTGGACCTATTTATTCGACCTATTGTATGTGAGAAATGTCTGTGTGAGCTTGTCTAGACTGAGCATCTCACATAGAGAAACATCAGTCTATAGTGATCGATGATCAGATCTTTTACTACAAGATCATTTACTACTTCATTCGCTAGATCAGTCATATACTGACTGAAACTATGAGTGTGACTTGTCTTGTGCATGCTATAGTCTTTGGTGTTGCTCAAATTCATACATACATAATGACTAATACAGCACAAACTGTAGATTCCATTCACATACTGTATATTCCATCACACCCCATCCATACCTCTAAATTCCTCCATCCCTCATAGGTCATACCTCATAGAAAACATTCAACATTCAACACTATACTTGTGGGGACTTTTTAGTAATACAATAGTAATTATAGAAGTAGTACTACCAGAATAAACACAAACAAACGTGTGCCCTTATGAAAGCCGGTCAGGGGGTGTATCGTGTCAACTTGAAGAGCTCATTAAATTCTCAATACCATGGTGAGTGAGCAAAGACAGAGGAAGAGTCACGTTTTTTGCTCTTCTATCGTATTTTGCTTTCATCCTTTTGTAAACAAACCTTTTAATCGTATAAAAGAGAGGTGTCTGAGAGGACATGGTCAAAAGAAAATGAAATAAAATACTCTAGTCTTGGCTTGGTTTGAAAAACCTAGAGAAACCTAGAGGGATCTGTTAGCAACAGCATATTTAAATGTTTGTATATTCACAATCCAAATATACTTTGCACATACCTAATGTAAAATAACTTTATCTTTAACTCATCGAATCACAATATCTTTGCTCATTTATTTCTTCTAGAGACCACGTTGTAATAATACTGATAATATGCATATTTGTTGTTATTTAAGGCTCATACTGTATGATACTTTGTAAAGTTTTCCATTTCATCCACTAGATCTGTTCTATCTAACATGGAGTACAACTCAAGACCTGTCCAAAATGCAGATTTAAGTCACAACATTAATTCTAAAAGCATCTGTCACAACTGGCAATATTTATAATGGCAAAAACATGCTTGCAAAGATCAATCAGCTTAATCATATATATTATCAGAATTGTACACAGGCTGGAATTTAAAACTGATCGCATTATTAATCATTTGTATTCATGATTTCATTCACAGTCATTGGCTTTGTTCAGTAGATTACTTCAGATATACCACTGAAAGTTGAAATTCACAATTTTGATAAATTTTGGAGTTTGCAAATCATACTTCAGGTTTCTGATCAGTCAGAGCACTTGGTTCAAGATCATCATACACTATGGCCTGCTTTAAATTAAATCTGTCAATTTTTGTGATGTACAAAAGCATACAGACGTTTTTAACGATAAAAGATACAGACTAAAAAGCCCTAAAGTTCAGTTCTGAATAGATGGTGTCTGTGTGTATTGTACTCCTCACCAGCAGCAGAAGCAGCACCATATCTGCATGATCGCAGGCACAGGCCACATGCAGGGCAGTCCAGAGGTCTTCATCCTGCAGGTTAACGTTCAGTCCTTTCTCTATCAAAATCTCAGCGGCAAACACATTGTCATGGCGAGCGCACTGCAGAGACAAATGTAAAAGAGGATGCAGACATGTCAGAAATACAAATAAAAGGTATTGCTGTTTACACAAAACATTTTCCAACTGCCCATTGTAAATGCAAGTATAAGTATTCAAATTACATATAAAAAAATAAATACATAATAATAATAATAATAATAATAATAATAATAATAATAATAATATTTGAATAATTGTATTATTATATTATATATATATATATATATATATATATATATATATATATATATATATAAAAATAAATATATATATATATATATATATATATATATATATATATATATATATATATATATATATATATATATATATATAATTAATCTTTAATCATACACTGAAGTAATACAATATAATATATATATATTTTTTTTAATTAATGCAACATCAATGCAACATGAGCACCATATCTCTATGCATGTACTGTACAACATATAAAATGCTAATATAAAGTATAATGTTCACTGAATGACTATCAATCTATCCTTCCATTCACCCCTTTGTCCACTCATGCATATGTCCATCTCATTTCTTCCATTCATTCTTTTGTCTATCAGATTCCGACCATCTCATTCCATATGACAAAGTTCATGAAGCTTAATTAAGCTTGTGTTTACTCTGATGCAACTGTGTTAACCTAAGCTCCATAGGCCTATTAAAATAAATAAAACTGACACTAGTTTATACAGTACGCCATTGAGTACCGTTTTTATTTTTATTTTTTTACCAAATGCAATAAAACTAATATGATTTGTGCATCCAAGACATTTTCCACCTGCTGCAATGATAGGAATCATATGACTAAATCAAGGCAACTGTCTTAACAAAATTAAACCATTTTTCCCAATGACAAAATATGAGTGCTTTAGTGAATAAGTCCATGAACTATATTCAGACAGTATTTACCTAATCTACTGTGCATTTAAATGAGCCATTTAAACAAATTAAAAAGATTTAGCTATTTTCTACATTAGATAACTGCATTAATTGAACAAAGGCAGAAGCTAATTTCCGTTAGAGGTGCGGTAATCAAAAGTGTAATTAAAAACTTAATTTCATATATGGCATTGAGTATGAATGGTTGATTTCATATGCTGCGCCATAAAAGTGTAATATTTTCAGTTTGAACATCTCTGACACTTTCAGAGTGCCGAGATTTAATTAAACTGTTTCCAATTACTGAAGAAATTGGATTTGTTTCTGTTTAGCTGTACTATATCCTGGCGGACCCTTTCATTTTATTTACCTCTGTATGGTCACAAAATTAACGAACAAAAATAGAGTCATCCATCTTGCTTGAATGCAGTGCTTACATACTAGACAGGGTTATTAAAGTCTGTGTCACTGAATGGTGTCAAATGTTTCCCAGAGTTACAATGAACCAAATAATGGAGTGCATTGGAGGCTGACCATTTAGTTGACAAACGGGTATTGATCAGAACATGAGTGTGCCTCATATAAACAGGCAATGTCAACTGAATTACTGTCACTCTTAAAGTTTTTTTTTTTTTTTTTTAAAGAAAGGACAAAGGGATGGGTGGAATGATGGATGGAATGACGGTGGGAATGATGAATGGAATGACGGTGGGAATAATGAATGGAATGAAAAATGATATGATGGATGGAATGACATGCGATAGATGGATGGATTGACATATGATGGATGGATGGATGGATGGATGACATGAATGAAAGGATGGATGGGTGGAATGACATGGATGGATGGATGGATGGATGGATGATGGAATAACATGTGACTGAGGGATGGATAACATGAGATGGATGGATGGAATAAAATGAATGGATGAAATGACATTGGATGGATGGATAGATGGATGGATGGATGGATGGATGGATGGATGGATGGATGACATAAATGAAAGGATGAATGGGTGGAATGACATGGATGGATGGATGGATGAAATGACATGTGACTGAGGAATGGATAACATGGGATGGATGGATGGATGGATGGATGGATGGATGGATGGATGGATGGATGGATGGATGGATGGATGGAATGAAATGAATGAATGAAATTAAATTGGATGGATGGATAGATGGATGGATGGAATGACATAAGATGGATGGATGGATGGATGGAATGACATCAGATGGATGGATGACAAGGGAGGGATGAATGGGTAAATGGATAGATAAAATTACATGGGAAGAATGGAATGACATTGGATGGATGGAATGACATGGGATGAATGAATGTATGGATGAACGGATGGATGGAATGACATGGGATGTATATAATTACATTGGATGGATGGAATGACATGGAATGAGTGTATGGATGGCTGAATGGAATGAGATGAACAGATGCATGGATAGATGGAATGAGATGGACAGATGCATGGATGGATGGAACGGGATGGACAGATACATGGGTGGATGGAATATACGATGAAGGGATAATTGATGATGGATGGATGATGAATGAAAGAATAAGATGGGAACATATTTTGTTTTTGTATTACAATCCTGTACTTCCATTAATTTCACTTGCTTTCTGCCTGCCTCCAGAAACACAATTGAAAAGGGACATACAGACTTTCCGTTAAGGGCACCACAGTCAGAGTATATAGTCATAGTAGACATCTCGCGATGTGCAAAACATGTAACCGAATTTGTCAGAGCTTGTCCTTATGTTCTTACCAGATGGAGCAGAGATCCTCCAGAGGAAATGACTGTGCTCAGGTCAGCTCCCTCCTTCAGCAGCCTTAGAACTGAAACAAAAGAAACAAAAAGAGAGATGAACATGTCTGCAAAACGAACAACTCCCTAAATCTCAGCACACAAAACACAGTGAGGAAATACAATGATATGTTGAAACCTCTAAAGACACAACTTGGCTCTGGTCCAAAACACAGTATGCTGACTAGCCGTCTACATTACTATCTACATAGTCTGCATCCTTTAAAATCAGCATTCTAAAAAGACACCAAACCTCAAATGTGACTGATTTAAGACTATGTATTTAGATGGAAACAAATGCTAAGCTAGCAAATATGAAAAGCTGGACTTCACTATTATCATTGCTAGTAATTTAGAAATATCACTAGGATTTATATTTAACAATTAAACATTTGAGATGACGTATCTCCATTTACACAGATTTTCAGAGCTCATTATAACAGAAACTTATCCATATTTGTCTTTATCCCTAACAATCAGACTGTTGACAGCCACTATCTGAATCTCTAGCAGTGTCTAGTGCATATCGACAGTCTCATCCTGTCTTTCCCTCTGGCCTAAACTCAAGTGCACTTCATCACACACCCACACACCCACACACACACACACACACACACACACACACACACACACACACACACACACACACACACACACACACACACACACACACACACACACACACACACACACACACACACACACACACACAGGCCCCTATTGACTACAATCACTGCAGAACTTGGCAAACATGTTATGCAGATTCCCACCGCAACAGCGTTTCCCATTCAGAATTGACTGTAGATGCGCACAGTGAAGAAGGTAAGGAACTCTTGTTGATTTCAGCTAATGATGAAAGACAGAATGTGCATACAGACAAACACAAATGTTGTGATATTCCTAAGGGATTTTTAAGCTCCATAGTGTGACAACATACTAGCCTGAAATTGCTTCTCAAACACGCTCAGTGGGGAGCAGATCTGCTTACATAGAAAAACGAAAGGCATCGCAGACGCCTATATGATCTCAGCTGAGGTTTAAAATCGCTAAAGAGTGAAGAAAAGACAGATGTGCACAAAAAAAAAGCTATAGCAAAAAAGGTAACATCAGCAGGTTAGCCGACTGAGGCTATCAGGCATCCACTCAGGCATACCACCAGGAATATCACCATTCAATGGATCATTATGCCAGAAAATGTTTTTTTTTTTTTTTTACAAATGCAAAAAGGGAAAAAGGACAAAGATGTACTGTACAGGGCTACTCACAACAAAAACAATACAATGATTTGGTTACATTTATTTTAAAGTGCCCTTGTTATGTTCTATATACTTACTAGTACAGAAACATTAAGTATACGTGTGATATTCAGACTACTTATCCACAAACAAGGAGAGGGAGAAAAATCACAAGACATTTTTTCAGAAAAATAATTGCAGAAATGTAATGTTGCATGATATTGGCATCGAATTCGAAACATATACTCAGGAGATGTGTGGCTTTTGACCTATTGCTTTTCTGTATTGGTCCAGGACTAATTTAATATATTTGTGTATGAAATAATAAAATGTTTAGTGCAGTGCAATTTGTTTTTCATTACTTAAGCATTTTCATTTTTGAGCATACTAAACTGTAGATGATGGATAATAAAGGCCAAAGTGTCTTCTTTACAAAGATATATGAACTGTGAATGTAGACCAAATCATTTAGCAACTGTTATTTTTTTAGTTTTGGATGTTTTTTTTTTTTTTTTAACTTATTTATTTATTTATTTATTTGAGAAAAGAAGGAGACCGATAGAGTCTTGGATTTTTTTTTTTACAGAAATCTTATTTTGCATGCTATATTCATCAAATTTCAAGGCATATTTTTTTCTAGGACATTACAATGTTTTCCTGTGCTTGTATACAGAAAAACAAATATTAAACACAATACAATTTATTTTTCTCATTGCTTCATAATGTATACCTATTATATTTGAGCATTAAATTCCTCTTTTATACAGTAACGCCCAAAGTTTCTTCTTTCCAATGATATCTAATTTGTGTTTGTAGCTTACTGGAGTCAAGAACTGTTACTATATGAAGTTAGGTAGGTGTAAATCCAGTGCTGGCTAATGAACAACTGTATGCAACTAACGCTAAATCTAATCCAGCATATTGTACTTGTAGTTCATTAATATTCCTCAGTATTCCTAAATGAATAGTTACATTGAAAGAAGGACACCCTAAAATATCAGGTAATGCTATATAGAGTCCTCACCAATCCACAAAATCATTGTTTTTTAATTCTTCTAGAACAATTAATTCAGAGTAGATTCTGACTGGCTGTCAATATTTAACTATTCATTGCCAGGAAGAAAAATAAATATATTCTAAATGCGATTTTAAGATCAAAAGCATCATTCATGTATCGTTCATGAAGTGAATAGGACAATAATAAAAATAATTTTAGAAATACACAGCATTTTAAGATGCAAGCCATTTTAATAGTCAAGTTGAATAGCATCCAATCTGAATATTACAAGAAACATTTGTGTTTCATGGTAAACTAATTCGGATACACCTGATTTTAAGATGTTCTCATTACATTTAAATTATTTTTGAATAATTAAAAAACCTTTTATAGTTTTGTAATAAAATCATCAGAAAGATGCCACAGGCATTCTATTTAACAGCATACTTCCAATGTAGTGCTAGTTAGGGTTTTTTGCCATTTGCCATACACTACCTAACAAAAGGCTTGTTGTCAATCCCATTTGTTACAACAACAAATAATAACTTGACTTCTAGTTGATCACTTGTAAAAGTAGCAGAAGGTATTTTTCCGATGAATCATCTGTTGAACTGCATCACAAATTATCACAATTGCAGCAGAAGACCTTTTGGAACCCGCATGAACCCATGATTCTCACAGATATCAGTCATGGTTGTTGAAGGAAAAATCATGGTTTGAGATTACATTCAGTATGGGTACATGTAAGAGATCTGTCACATCTGTCTGTGACCACCTGAGGGCGCTGTAGTGCACTAGCACTTTGTAGGCGCTACAGTGTCCCAGGAAAAACTACATTTTCATACATGCCCCGCGCACACACCGGAACACCTACACTGACCTGTCATCACATCTGTTTTGTGTTACCGTTGATTATCTGGACTATTTATACAACCATTTCATCACTGTTTGTGATCGCGTCGTTTGTCTTCCTTGTCTGAAAATCGAGTAAGTCTAAGAGTCCCAGTTTGTTATTCTGATTCTTGTTCTTGTATATTTGCAATAGTCTAGTTCGTGTTTCATTTGTCTAGTCTGTTTTCTAATTAGTTTAGTTGTTTGAGTTTGTTTTTTCTGAGCCTCGTCTCTGATTTAGTTTCTGGTTTTGTCGTTTATTTGTTACTTTGTATTATCACCTTGTTGGCTGCACTGTAAATAAATAATCTGCACTTGGATCCGCACCTTTTGTTTATTGTTTTTGATCACGCTATATCGTGACAGAACGACGCGATCACAAACAGTGGTGAAATGGTTGTATAAATAGTCCAGATAATCAACGGTAACACAAAACAGATGTGATGACAGGTCAGTGTAGGTGTTCCGGTGTGTGCGCGGGGCATGTATGAAAATGTAGTTTTTCCTGGGACACTGTAGCGCCTACAAAGTGCTAGTGCACTACAGCGCCCTCAGGTGGTCACAGACAGACGTGACAAGATCTGCAGAGTGGATGGCAACATCAACAGCCTGAGGTATCAAGACATATGTGCTGCCCATTACATTACAAACCACAGCAAATTCTTCAGCTTGCCTGAAAGCAAAGAAGGTCAATATGCTCCAGGATTGGCCAACCCAGTCACCAGACATGAACATTATTAAGCATGTCTAGGATAAGATGAAGGAGGAGGCATTGAAGATGAATTCAAAGAATCTTGATGAACTCTGGGAGTCCTGCAACAATGCTTTCTTTGACATTCCTGATGACTTTAATAATAAGTTATTTGAGTCACTGCAAATGATCAACTAGAGGTCAAGTTATTATTTGATGTTACTAAAACTGGGATATGCATGTCAGATAGTGTATAATTGATCTTTATTTTTAATATTACAGTAAGAGCATTCCATCATGTCAAGGCAACTGTAAAAAAAAAAAAAAAAAAAAAAAAAGTCCAAAATACAAGTGCATTGATTGTGCCAAGTGTATTCTCAACCATGTGATAGATGGCTGAAAGGCTGAACTTATGTATCTCAGAGATCACTCAGCGATCACCCATCAGGAAATTGAACACCGGTTTGGATTATACAGAGCTGCCAACACAAGAAAATAAAAATGAATGAAGATCCCAGAGAGGAAATGAGGCACGGTGTAAGGACACAGTGTGCAATCAACGGCTATTCAGTGATAAAATCGTTACCATGCAATGTGGCGGAAAAGCTTAATGCAGCTAAGAAGCTAATTTTGACCCAATGGTGGCCGTCCATCTTAATTGCATGAATCTACGCACAACATGCAATCAATGCTAATCACACACCGACTCGGCTTCATGGAAATATGAGCTCCAACTGATCAATAGATCTTGAGCTAGGTAATAAATCTAGTGTGCACCTGACTGGCTTCATCACATGACACACATACACACACACACACACACACACACACACGATCCCTTGCTTGCAATGAAAGAGTGAAGGTTAATTACAGTCATAGTTACGATATGATCTAGCAGGTAACCCCTACTGAAGCTTTGATATTACGACCCTCAGAGGAACAGTTACTACCTCCAACAGATGGATGACCTCTAGGTTTGAATGTTCAGATGATGGTTTATTCAGATGGGATGCCTATTTATACAGGAGAACAAGCTCTCTATGAGTAGCATTGTTGAGGTAGAACAGTTGATGCTAATAATACAGTCTATGCTCATTCATATTTATGAGGTGTTGTTATGGTGATCTGACTCAGCGATATGCGTGGCTGGCTCAATTGTTCACTCGATAACGCTGAATGCTGTAAACATCTATGTGACCTCCGTAATGCATTGCACAA